AAAGAAAAAAAGAGCGTGGGGGCGGGGTGGGGAGGGGGTGTTGACTATCCGATACATAAATTCCCAAACACTCAATATTTCACTCTCTGACCGGTGTATTTGCCTATTAGAGGCGATTAACGCTCCGATATCTCCCCCTCATCTTTCTAGAGCCTGTGCCTTACCGTTGTTGTTCGCCTCCACATCTCCAGTCACATTGCCAGGAGTATTACATAGGCTGCGAGGGTCTGTCGTTGTGCGACGCCTGTGGTGCGCGCCACATGTCACTCTGTGTTGCTCTCTTCTGAGCGCGCGAGGGGTGCCACTACGTCGTGGAGCGCGCGAGCGCGGAAGTGCTGGGCTAGTACAACGTACTCTGCGGGGAGGCGAGCGAGAAGTGCTCGTGAGAGAAAGAGAGAGCGAATATGATAGTGAGAGTCGCGAGAGCGCGAGGATGTATTAAATAGTACCATACGACTATATCAGCGCTCTATTGGCGCCAGACAAGGAGTAAGACGGAGCCTCTATTTGTCCCAGGCACTTGATCAACCAGATGTCGAGAGACCCGCAGAAAACCGGGAGGGCCGAGCTTCAGGAACACTGGAATACCATCATATAATGGATTGTTAGAGTATTGGGGCCTATGCTGTCGGCCATGCCATATAGCAATGAATAGACTATCGTAAAGCCGAAGCGCATTCTGGTATGAACTTCAGCCTCACTGTCGACTTCTGCAGACAATGCGCGAGTACGCTCGCGTAGTACTGGAGCTGCGCGCACTGAAGGACATGCCTCGTGTCGGAGAAGAAAGACACTAAGGAGAAAGTGGTCTTGGTCTTTAACCAATAAATATATCTTATCTTATCTTATATCTTGTATCTATCCAGTCTTGAGTTTTATCTCTAATGCGATTCGCGCGTTTTTGTAAACTCTACAATGAAACACAAAGGGTTATATCCATTTGTCTTACGAAACATAGCAAATTGAGAGAATCCCTCCAAATTTTATTGGTAGATACCCCTGCATTTATAATCACTCCACCATGGCGAGAGAAGAATACAATTGGGACGCCAATGTCAAAATAGGCTTACAGACTAGAGATATCTCAACACCCACATAAGCCAGATTCTATTTAGGTTGATGTTACAATTCCTAGTAGAGTTCCAGTCCTGGCTGTATCGCTTTTATTCTATCAAGGACTAGTTCGTCATGCAAATTACAAGTAAAACAACAGAAAGCACCAAAAAGATGTACCCGATGCTAATAATAATAATGAAAAATATCCCAGTCCTAAATCACATCAAACAGCCTAGATAACACACAAAAGAATACTGAAATAGAAGAAAAAAGACAGGTCATGAAAATATCCACTATAATAGAAAAACAAATAAAAGGTATGATAAACATACAGAACACAATCGAAAAAAATAAAAACAAAATACAAAACTATATAATCTATATGGAAGTAATAAGACAGAATACAAGACGTAGACTATTATAGAGAGATAATCTATAAGGAGGCGGCGATGACACATCACTGCTTTTCACAAACATACGCTCATGTTAATTATCATGAATAACATCACAATAAAAATACATAGAAACTCATAGACACTATTATTGTTTGAGCTTATTACATTTATTGGATCCTTCATAGTATAAGATAAAGTCACAATGGTTTTTAGTTTCAAACACCGGATTACTCTGTTGGTGGACTATTGTGGTTTATCAAAACGAGACACCCAAATCCAGTAAAAAATCTGGTGGTGGCTATATCAATCTGGACTCCCGAGCTGTATGCTGTACGTAGGGAGTCTCCTGTTTGGGGCACAACATTTGGTAGAAATCTTTCTTATTTGTTCGATCTGGCAATATTTACAGCAAAACCGACAAAGCTAGCGATAATTGTTTGTGATTTGACACTGCACCTAATCTTGGCATAGTAAAATTCGCATAAAACCCAAACATCAGATTTCTAATATGTCCTGTACAACATGACAGTTAATATATCCAAGTTTACACATCACATACTTGTAGCTAGTATTCTGATTAAAAATATTTGTGGTTGTTTTGGCTAGAGTCTTTTGTTGGGTAGAGCCATCCGGTATGACGAGGTATCTGGTGATGCATGCAGTAGACTTGTTTCCACCTGGGATATACCACTACATGAGGAGATATGAGCAAGGAGTGGTCAAAACAGGTCGTGTCTAAGGTTTTTCTTGTCTATCTCTCAGGCGTACTGGGTTTAGCTTCTACGACTAGGAATAATTAAGTCATAAAGATGAATATACTACGCACTGGTCTTCGCTAGCTATGTCATTAAATCCAATTAAGAAGATTGCGGTATGTACTTGACAGTGAAAAAACAAGTCTAGTGTATGCCCCAGCAAGCTCACGGAGCTTATTTTGTTTTTCTCTTTCCCTCTTTAGACTGTCTAATATCGTTGTACAACGTTCCGTACGAAAACTGGTCACTCTGCCGGTACAGATTTAACTTAATTAACTCTCTATAACAATGCTGTTCCCTTTTCTTTGGTCGTCCCTTCCTTCTCCTACCTATGTGTCTCAGTCCTAAAAAGAAACTTTCCATAGAGGCTAGTCCACCATCTTATTCATAACATAGGTGCGGTCCCATGTGAATTTTACTGGTGATTCACACTGTACTGTAAGCGCTTATGAACCTGCGACAGCAAGAGCGAAATACCTAGATGGGAATACCAACGCGCACTCGAATTTATTATTAAATCAAGAATACTGCTGTGCCTATGGACATTGCCTTTAATTTGGAACTCCGAATCAGTAGAAAAACCCGATGCGCGTGAGAAAACGTACTTCCTGTTATTATGCTAACTGCGAGTAATTAGTATACAACATCTTTTTACAGAAACAATATGTCTTTAACATCATTTCGATCACCAAAAACAACAAACTAACGGCGAGGAGGGAGCGAAAAAAGGTAGGACGATGATAATCTGCTGATTTTCCTCGCTCCCACGGATCCATTGGTGTTAGCAGAGACTGAACTGAATGAAGACAGGTAGTCCAGGCTAAACTGTCCCCAATGAATGATTATTGCTTGATCTACTACCATGTACTTGATAACTTCATTCACCTCGTGGTTTTTCACTGAGCGTCC